CACCAGCTCATCAAATTCAACTAGCGTATCATCTGAATCGTATGAAAACAAACACTGAAAACCTTAAACATGAAATAGAAAAATGTATTAAGTACATTATATAAATTTATCTAAATAAATTTCGTTATTTATTATGGAAACTTTACTTGTTGTTACCATCATCGTTATACTATTAATTTTATTTATAATATATATAATTATTTATATTTTTTATTTATTCATTTATTTAACTGTTGATATTGATTTTCTTAGTGTTAAGAAAACTATCATAATATTGTCATCAGTATTCCTCATTCTATATTAAATGATATTTTACATTTAAAAATTGTTGCACTGTTTAGTCAACCACTAGGCATGTTAAACTTATTGTGTAAAATAAATTTAGTTATTTCTTTGCATAAGTTTGACCAACCAACAACCAGTGTTTGATTATCGTTTATAAACAACACATTTTTCAATAAAAAATTTACGAATATGTGTATAAGTATCGTAATACAATTAGGGTGCCGGACTGAGCAGACAGGATACCAGGAGAGTTTCTCGGTGGGCTGCTAGTTTGAATTAGGTCACTTTTACTCGTTGGAAGTTTAATTTTAATTTTCGATTTATCGGTTTAGACTCATTGTGTCGTTAGACATAGACGCATTTTCTAATGCGCTTGCATTAGAAACTGTCTAAAATTAAATAAACGGTCTTTTAATTTTCAATAATAACATACAATAACTGTATATGAAAATAAACGTTTTTTTTAGTATTATTTTTATACCTTTAGTATATCTAAGTGGGCCGTTTTTTTTTTTTATTTTCCAGATAAAAATTTCTGACCCAGTCCGGACCTGCATGAAATATAACTATTCTACTATTCTAGCGTACTTATTTTAATATAATAATTATACGAGGAAATTCATTTCTAACCGAAAAATATACCAAAGTTAAGTAAAGAAACGTAGATAGTATCGTGCTGTGCTTACTTGGATTAGTTTTCGAAAAATATTGTCACTACTGAATTGACTGACACAAAATAAAATTAAAATTATAATCAGCAGATTGACTCTTAATAGCATAATATTTTTAAGTAACACGCCGTGCTACTAGCACGGTTTTAATAATTAAAATCGTTAAATTTATTATTAACATAATAAAAAAACTTAATATTAAACATGTATAGTTTATAATTTTAATATTAATTTTTATCATGAAAAAAAATTAACCAGATAAGTTAGAATTCAGTTTTTTTTAATTGATTATTTCGAATAACAACTAATATATATTAGAATTTATTATTCTGAGTTATAACAGCAATTAAAAAATGTCGTTTGATTATTTCGAGTGATATCTCGATCATGAAAATATATCGATTACTATTTGAGTAAAATAACTAATACTATATAAATTGAAAATTTCGAGTGATATCACGATTTTAAGTATATATTGATTACTAATAATTCGATTATGAAAATAATTCAGTTATGTCAGGGTCTTTTATTTTATATTTTTTTTCGTATGAGTAGTTTACTATTCCATCATTCAACATTTCATTAATTAAATCATCAGGCTTAGTGGCGAATGACAATAGTACAATATTTTAATATTTAGATACGAATATCACGCCAGAAATAAATAAATCATAAAATAAAAACCAACCAATAACTACGATAACAAAATTGCGTTGAACGATAACGCATCAACGCGAAAAGCAATGTCGATTACAATAATGTATATTAAAATGAAATAATAAATACGAACGCGAGACATGTCTCATAGCGCAATGATAATCCCTACTCAATAATCTATTCCCCCTGCACATCGTGTCTTGAAAAACGAGACGCTGCAATGCGTCGTCTTATAATATTAATTTTTATATCTGTATCTGGATGTTTATAGAATTAACCACTTCGCCACAACGGACGACAACTCGCGTGCACAGTCCGCAACTAATCTATTTTAAGAATACTAATACGGTATGGCACAAAAGTAAAACTATGATAAATATTGAAGTATATATTATATAAAAATAAATAAAATATAATAAAACCAAATTATGATCCCGTATTAAAAGTGGGTAGACATTGTCTCATTGCCTCCAATGACGCTTCGCCACTGGAAACTGTAAAAATAACAATTTACCTGTATTTAAATATTACGAGTAAGATCCATACCTGTGGGCTTATGTACTACGTAGTTACAGATCGCAGACGTCATGAACATTCGCTTTTCTTTCTCGCATGTTGTTTTTTGCAAACATGAATGCATGTTTATAAAAGGTTTTTGATTATTTTGATACGTATGCTTCCCGATAGTAACAAATCACTGTACGTACTTACTACTGTTTTACAGGTATATTTTTTAAAGCTACACTCAAATTATTCATTGATGACAAATTTTATCAACAGAGTTGAATTTAAAATGTACACTGAGACGCCCCAAATAAATATACATATAGAACCAGTGTTGAATCCAGGTATACTTCAGGGGGAGGGCGAATGCCCCCTCCCTGAAATTTCTTTCGCACTCCCTAACAAATACAACTTTCAACAAAATGTACCTATTTATTAAATGCATAACACTCGTTACGATTACCGCACCTAATGGCGTTCAATAAAATATAATTGATTTATATCAATGTTTTTATACCGTATTGCCAGCATAGGAACTATCTACTGACTTTCCCAAAATTATAGCAGTTAAAAGATAACGAAAAATAATAATCACGAGTTATAATTTTTGATGACGGCTGGATTACGATATAATCTAAAACTACGTACGGTATGTACCTACCTACTATTGTTCGTGGGGACTCAAATAAGTTTAATCAGTGCTGCCTAGTTGTTTGTACCTTTATGTTGTTCGGTATTCCGCAACAAAAATGTCCAAAAGAAAAATATCAGATCTTTTTTTACAAAATAAAATAACTAAAACTTCAGAGTCCTAAGATTCTCATCATGAAACGATTGTCATGGATTTAGATGAATTGCCTACGCCTACTTCTACAAAAAAAGGTAAAGAAAAAATATTTTATAATAAAAAATGGGAAATTGATTTTCCATGGATTTATTTTGATGTTTAACGTAATGGTGCTTTTTCCAAATTATGTGAAAAACATGTAGTGAATGATTCCGTACTATTGACAAGCACAGGAGGAGTTTTTATTAAATCATTTTATTAAAGATACATTAGGGTATATTTTATCATTTTTAGAACAAGTAATAAAAGAGATGGATTGTCGATTTAATGATACTGCAGTTAAGCTCATAGAAGGGTGTACAATATTTAAAAATTATAGTACGTTATCAACTGAACCAGAAAAATTGATTGAACAATTGTGTGACTGTTTATCTATATCTGAATATGATAAAGATTGTATAATATTATATTTTAAGTCTTTTAAAATTTGTAGCTTTGGATAAAAAAGAGATTAGTAGAAACTCCATATCTGAACTTCTTGAAGTTAATATGGGTCATTAACATTTAAGAAAATTAGCAGAATCAGTTTTATGCATACCAATTGCCACTGCTACAGTTGAACGATCATTTAGTGCAATGAATCAAATTATGTCAAATCAACCTCAGGAGTTCATTGAAGAAGTAATTGATTTATATGCAAAAAAATAAACTCGTTGCATAAGATTAATTTAAAAAATAAAAATAAATAATTAATAATACAATTTATAATATATGACGACCTTACATTAACCTTGGATTAATTTGAAAATTAAAAAATGAATAATTTGTTTCTAATTTGTTTTTTAGTTGTATTTAAATTTACAATTTCTAAATTGTAATTTTATATTAATAGGTATTAGTATAATTCATAATACTATGTATCACCATTCACAATGAAAAAAAATTGAGCTCCCCCCAAAAAAATTGTCTGGATTCAACACTGTATAGAACAATATACATTTTGCTTGAAAAATAACATTTAATACCTATTTTCTTGTTGTTGTATACTGTTTGTAAATCAAAATGAATTAAAATTTTCTGTTTTTACGTTACAATAATTACAATATTAAGGGAAGGATGCGAAATATTTGGAGGTCTCAGGGCATTATCCCACTCAGCTTTCTCTCTCAATCCGACACTGTAAATTAACTATTTACATTTATTAATGACTTAACATTTTACTTCACCGGTGTATCATTTATAAAACCAAATGGTAGTTTTCGACGACGGGCGGACTCTGTACAGCGGCATAGTTGTAGAATGCGACTGCCACATTATTGACCTTACTTGAAGATAAATTGGCCATAAGTCATATGGTACAGGGAGTAGTTATATAGATATAAAACACTTTTATTGCGTTGTATGTATTATAATGAATAATAAGAAACATAAATAAGATCCAGTAGTAATATAAAACACTATTATTTATTTTTGAATAATTTTGAAAATAATGAACAAAAATAAATTTCAAATAGATATTATTACATACAGACAAAAATTATAAATTATAAATTTTTTTTTGAAATAGTATAATACTAAAGTTAAATACAACATCGTACGATGTATACGATTTTTTGGTCAGTAAAACATAACTGAAGTAAATTTAGTAAATTATTAAAATAATTGTAATTGGTTTGATATTTGAAAAAAAAATATGATTGAATATTGAAGTATTAATAAAAATAAAAATCGTTTTCTATAACATGAAAAAGGGTTGCCATGTTTAAATTTATGCTCGAAATAGAAAAAAAATTTATAATATTTTCTTACTATCTAGTTTAAAATCTTAATCACTACGTTCTTAAAATATACGTTTTTAATGAATCAATGTAAAAAAATAAAATTAAAATTACTTGACCACGTAATGAATATAAAAATAAGTCCCCCGTTGGTGGTGCAAAGCATACACGTAGGTACTAAGTTTTTTTTTTTTTGTTCTCTTAAAATTAGATATATCTTAAGTTTAATTAATAATATTTGTACTTTGAAAACTAACCATAATTATAAAAATAATTATAAAAATAATTATAAAAAATAAAATGCAAATAAATGTTCAGTTATCGATGTTATGACAACGTTCAGAGGAAGTGTATGTTTGTATGTGTATATATATATATATATATGTTTAGGACGTAATTGATCGGAGAAAAACGTATGTTGAAGTCCAACGCGGCAGAGCGTCGAAATAAAAAATATTATTGAAAAATGTTATAAGCCCGTGCGGCGGAAAAGATAAGATTAGATGATTTATGTCTCCGTGCGTTATACGACACGTACGTTAGAAAAGTGCCAAAGAAGTGTAATGATTTGTAAGTCTAATGATCGAATAGTATTTGCGAACGATTAATGTACAGTAAATGTGTGCATCGTGTCACCGGGAACGCGAAATCTTACGCGTAAACATATAAACATATATATATATATGTATATGTATATGTACAAATAAACGTATAAACTTTCCTCGGGTTCGATCGCTGTTTAGCGACGGATCTGTACCGGCTTGGCGTTGGACGGTTCCACCGGTACGGTGGCGTACACAAACGCGGTGTTGCCGACGGAGTCGGGGGAGTGTACTGGCGCAGAGCTGCTGTTGTGGTTGACGCGGATGCCGCGGCCGGCCGGTCTGGTCGTGTGACGGAAGGCGGACGCGGGAAACCGGGAGCCCTGGCACGGGCACGGATGTCCCGGGTTGCTGCAAACGCTGGAAAACGAGAGAAACATCATTACCCATGTTGTCTAAATGATACGCGTAACGATCGCTAAGCCGACGGTCGCCGTACATTTCGTGTACCGTGACGCGCTACGTGTTCAGAGACAGTTTTATGAAGGGAGGGGTCCAAAGGGTCTGGAGCCTCCCAGGTTACACGTTTAGGTTGTGATATATTATATTTTATACGCGGATATATGTTTACATATAAATCTGGTGATTTCAACCGTATTTCCATATATTTGAATGTTTGTTACAGCATTTTATATGACGTTTTCGATATTTAATATTGGTGATAATAATGGCGTTTGACCATTCGAAGAACTTACGTTATTGGATTATTATTAATGATAAGCTGATAGTTGATTTGGTATTATTGTTAGTGTAAGAATTACATTTTAAGACTTTTGGTAATAAATTATTAATGGGTTGAACATTTTTTTGTCTTCATACATTATTAGATAATGTCAAAGGCCCCCTATTCCCGGGAAAAAAAGGGAACGGGAACGACGTAAGGGCGTCGTCACGCGTAACGCGCTGCAGTGCAATACGTGTCATGAGAAACGGACGGGACACTCACGGTTCCCGTACCGTGTCGACGCGACATCGGATCGAGAAAACGTCTCGCGACAAAAAAAAAACATTTTGTCGAGCCGCAATCGTTCGCCAACAACACACGCCACGAGCGCGTAAAGACCGTGTGCAGCGGTCCATAGTGTGTTTGTGGTTGCACTTACTCCTTGAAGTTCCTGAACACGTCAGCTCTGCGCACGATTCGCACGGCCGCCAGCACCAACAACGTCACCACGGTCATGCAAATGATGCCAACGACGGCCAACAGCCCGACGGTGCCGGTCGTCCACGCGGTGTGCCGGATCCAGAGCATGCCGTCGACGTTGGGCCGGTAATGGGACAGGTCGGTGACTCCGCCGTTCTGGTGGACGGCCGAGTCGACCGTGTCACCCATCTTGTTGTCGTTGCCTTCGGTCGGCAATGCAGGCATCGCCGCGGTCTCCGGTGGCAGCGTTCCGTTCGCGGTCGGTTCACCGATGGGTTGCGCAGGGGTCGCGTCTGCGTGAACGTAATGAAAAAAGAAAAACCACGGGTTAAACGGTACGTACGTAACGTTACAAGAAATATCGTCTCCACGCGGGACGGCGGGTTTAATGGCGTGTAACCTACTGTTTAGATGGGTAGATGGGACAAAACGAATCTCGATCGGAGACTGTACGCCCAAAGTTATTTATAAAAAAAATTTTTTTTTTCTCGAAAGATATAATATGCACAATGACGTGCGAAACTGTTGGCGTTCTTATCTCGATCGTTATATTTTAACGCGAACATCAGATATGATATAAATCATTTCAATGTAATTAAAAACGAGAAGTTGCACCGCACGCAAGTTTGGAACAAAGTAGATAAGGGACAAAAATGTATCGTGTTCAAAAATTGTGCAATTTATCGAAACTTTCGAATTTTAGACGCACACCAATTAATAACACAAACGATATAGTATACCTCTTGAAATTTGTAAGTTACTTTTTTGTATTATTGAACTTTCACAATTAAAATTATTAATAAATTTAGTACTGATTACATTGTTTATTTACTTGCGATTTCTATCTCAAAATTACTAGGTATTACTGAATTTTAAAATGTGTAAACCCAATCTATATTAATACAATGATATATGATTTTTAGTCTCATCATCTATTTTTTTATAGGCCTATAAAATTTGAAAATTTGTTTAACTTAAATATATATATATATATATATATAATAACAAACTGTTTGACCTTGATCAATATACATACCGTTAAATTCATCGTGTCGCTTTTTAATAATATGCAACAAATATTCGGAGTTCATGTCATCTTCTTCTGTGGTTTTCAAAAAAGTACTTGTGATATCAGTATCCTCAGGATCGGTATAATCCATTTTTTGAGTTTCCGATGATTCCGATGGAACTATTTGAGATAAAGTATTGGCGCTAAGTGTGTTGATCGGATTTATGTTTTTATATTCCGGTCTATATACTTGTCGGAATAAACGTCCTGCTATTATATTCCGGAAATTGATTTTCTTTGGATGTGTGGATTTAAACTCCGATGTAGCTACTGTAGTAAACGGAATATTTAACTTCTTGTCGTATGTCGATTTGTCGTTAAGATCTGGCTTTATTTGATCTTGATTATTATGCATTCCGTAAGGTGCATCATGACGTTTTTTAATATTATGCTGGACATTTTTAGAATTAGATTGATCTTCTTCCGTGATTTTAATCGTAGTAGTTAAATCTTCCGTGTCTCTTATTAAATCAGTAGAATTCATTGATTGGGTTCCGGATGATTCCGTTACGACTGCTTGAGATGACGTGTTTAAACTCAGTGCGTTTGATACATTTAAATTAGACTCAGGTATACTGCTCACATTAGAAACAAGTTTATGTTCATACAAAGGAGTAGTCATTGTTTCAGATTGTGTCGTGGAAGATTCAGACGAAGCCGCTTCAGATGACGTATTTAAGCTCAGTGTGTTTGTTAGATTTAAGTTTGATTCTAGTGTGGTGCTAATATTAGATTCATACATACTCGTAGGAATACTCATTGTTTCCGGTTGTTTCGTAGACGATTCAGATGAAGCTACTTGAGATGACGTATTTAAGTTCAATGTGTTTGATATATTTAAATTAGATTCTGTAGTACTGTTAACATTAGGTCCATACGAAGAATTATTCATTGTTTCTGACTGGATTGTGGAAGATTCCGATAAAATCGGTTGAATGGTCGTATTTACACTCAGTATGTCTGTTTGATTAACGTAAGATTCCGGTGTAGTGCTTACATTAGACTGCAGCGCAGAAACCTGTGAATCATTATACATTACTTGGAACAGAAGTTCTACTATCGCATAATGTAAATCGGAATTCTTTATATGTGTTATATTAGATTTTGATGTAGTTACTGTATTATTAAGAACACTTAAGCTCTTGTTGTACGTCAAAGTGCCGTTGAAGTCTTGCTTTGTTTGTTCTTGAATATTATGCATTCCGTAATGTGTATCATGACGTTTTTTAATAACATGCTGGAGGTTTTTGGAAATAAATGTATCTTGTTCCTTGTCCCCTAGATCAGTAGAATCAATTGGCTGATTATTGGAAGATACTGATAAATCTGATTGAGATGAAATACGCAAGCATAGTGTGTCTAATGCATTTAAATTAGTTTCAAATGAAGTATTTGCAAAGCTGTCTGTATGTTCAAGTACAGACAAGAACGAATGGTTACACAAGCGTCGGAATAATAATTCAAGTACTGCATTCTTGAAACTCAATGTACTTAAATTAATAGAATCAGATTGGATTGAAGGTACTGTAGTTGATGGAATAATTAAGTCTTTGTTGTTACTTAAGTCATCATTAAAGTCTGGCTTGGTTGTTTCTTGAAAATTTTGCATTTTATAATGTGCATCATGACGTTTTTTAATAACATGTAAGACTTTTTTAGAATTAGATTTTCTTTCTTCCGTGTTTTTTATTGTATTATTTAAAACTTCCGTGTTAAATAGATCAGTAGAACTCATTGATTGGGTTTCGAATGATTCCGTTAATACCGCTTGAGATGACGTGTTTAAACTTAGTGCGTTTGATACATTTAAATTAGACTCCGGTGTAATCACATTAGAAACAAGTTTATGTTTATACAAAGGAGTTGTCATTGATTTGGGTAGTGTGGTAGAAGATTCAGATGAAGCCGCTTGAGTTGACGAATTTAAGCTCAGTGTTTGATTAACGTAAGGTTCCGCTGTAATATTAAGGTCAAGTTTAGAGTCATAAGAATAATTAGCCTTAATTTCGTTTGTATTTATACTCGTGTTATCTATTATACTTAAATTAGATTTCAATGTAATGTTCAAATTATTTTTGAGATCAGAAACAATTGAAGAATTATCTTTATGAGATATAAGTTGTTGTATTCCAGTATTAAAATCATGTTCATTTACATGCGTAAAGTTGGATTCTAATTTTGATTCTGTAGTTGATGGAACACTTAAGTCCTTGTCGTTTGTTGAGTTGTTATTGAAGTCTGACTTAACGACTATAACTGTAATAAACCTAGTGTCCTGGGAAGTTTTTTCAGTTGTTGAAACAACCGGACTCTTTTCATTTTCAGCCATCGTTGAATTTTTATCTTGTTCTTCATCTACCAAATGTTTCAATGGTATGTGCGTGGTTATGTTTTCCGAAATAACGCCGTAATGGACTGATGGTTTACTCAAAAACAAAGTTGAGTTGTTCTCAGCAGTTTCTGTCTTAACGTCGGGAACGTTGGTGGTGTTTTGGTTTTCATTCATTTTGATATTAATGTCCATGAGCCGTAGTGCATTTGTAAGCACCATGACTTGAACATATTCCCCGTTCAAAGGAAGGGAAATATGTTCATTGCACATGGCTTGTTCGCAGCAATAGTAGGTCTTGATTTTCGTAGATTGATTTGTAGCATTTTGAGAATGGAGATCTGGGAACTCCGATTCATCGTTTTCCATTGATTTCAAAATCTGATTACACGTTTTATTACTGTTTTCCGGAAATGGATGTAAGCATGTTAGCAAAAACAAAACAAAAATATATCAATAAATAACATATTTATATCTCCGTAATAGGTATATTATAATATTACTGTGCATTTAAAATTTTACGGTGCATAGGTACGTATTTTATATAAGTAATATATTATGTAGATATGCAATATGTATTCATATTGTTATCACGGGTGAAGTTTGAAATTCGTATAATTATAACTAATTAATAAATAATAAATAATTATTAATTATTAATAATATCTCGTGTTGTCAATATTTTTATCAATATAGCTGAATTAGTTCAATGTTTGTTAACTTGGTAAGTTATAAATATAAAATTATAAATAAAATAAAATTATTAATATTAAATAAACAAACGTTGTTAAATGATAAACCATTACATTAGCTGCATGAAATAATGGGTTTAGAAATTTGTTTAAAATGTTTAAAAAATGGGAAAAATTATTTAAAAACTATAATTGTGTATAATATACGGAATAATAAAAACACATGAACATGTATAATGATTATATCGATTACAAATTAACTTTTATTATGATATAATTCATTATGATAAATATTATAAATTACTAGTAAACGAAAAACATGAAACACATCCAAAAATTCATCTTGCAATAAGAAATAATTTAATATATCATTTTAGAATATAAGAAAACAATTTTTAAATAATCAATATTGTTATCTATCACGTAAGCAATAATTAAGTATTTATAAGAATTTATAAAAGGGAGAAGACGTGTAAGTATAAGGTCTTCTGTGGTGGTCGTATGACTCGATCACAACGGAAATACATGCGTTATATTAAATGTTACTTTAATTCAAGTTGTGTGTTTGTATCTATACGTACGATTTAATCGGCAAATGTGACAATGTGGAAATACATATACATTGTAAATTTATTAATATTCAAGGCCTTTTAAATTGTATATATTTCAAATTGTTTATAATTCATGATAAACAATGATGATGTATCAATTATGGTTTAAAAATATAAGTTTTCATTTTCATTTTAAAAGAAATACTGTTAACATTTTTTTCTTACATATTTTATAAGAAAAAAATATCAATTACATACAATATAAAGGGCTATGCAAATATTACTAATAATACTAATTAAATAAGTAATGTTATTTTTATAGCCCATTGAACTTTAGACTGGGTACGAAAATACAGTACAAAAATAAAACTGATGGAAAGTGCATGTGTGACAACGATGACGGAAATACGAATTTAAATTTCCATTTTCTTTTTGCATACATACATACGAGTACACATATATGACAACTCAAGGGCTTCTCCAGACATTAGTAATTGGGAGGGGGGGGGGGGAGTAAAACCATTTATTTTCATAACTTGGGATTTAGAATTAGTGTCATATACAAAATATTTGTTACTGAAATTTTATATTATTAAAAAAAAATTATTATATTTATCATATTAAACAAATTAATTTTTTTGGCTTATATGTATAACAAAATCTCTATATCTTTTAATCTACTTTTGCCTATTTCACTTCTTATCCAAGAATTATTCTATGAATCTGTTGTATGTACGTGCGTGCGTGTGTATATATATGTATTTATTCTATAACCGCGATTAAGTAATCATAATAGCAAGATATCAGGACTCCATTGAAAAAATTTCAAGTTATTTAATATAAATTATGCAATTGACCAATTACTATGTTAGTCAATCCACCTCACAGGGGTAAGCGATCATTTCCATTGACCCCCTTCCCTCATTAGAATGCCCTCGTGACAACAAAATATTGTACATGTTTATTAACTATTTACTTAAAACTATAGATCACTGTAAGTATTTAGCAACATTTTGAAACCCATTTTGGAAATATTTATATGAAAAGTTATAACTATAATTCAACAATCAATCCATTGATGCAGCATGCATCAAATGTATACACATATAAATGTGTGTGAACATAGAATGTTAAAAATATATTAAATATTAATAAAACTTTCTAAATACATATAATTTAGTCAATTAAAATTGAGGATAAATAGAACGGATTTATAAAATAATGCATACCCCAATGCTCACAGTCGGGTGTTCTGTAGTTTAATCTACACATATACATACAAGGGCTCTCCGGTTAAAGCCCCCCCCTTAGATATTAGGTAGAACCATATCGGACATAGATACTAAAAATATTTAAAAAAAATTAGACGTAAGAAAAACTTCGTACAAATCAATATGCGAAACAAATTATGGCAGCAACTCACTTTATTAGCCCCCCCTTTTTTTCATTTCTAGATCTACGTTTGTGCAAACCTACAGATGAAACAATTGTGACACCTAATGTAGATACCATAAAATTATGTACACGATTCTTTAAATATAATCAAGCTATAAAGCACACAACATGCATGACTGCGGCTTATACTATTATAAACATAACATACACGGGTGAAGATTCCAGACAGCCGAATACTCCGTTGACCTTGTAATCTTCGATGAAGACTGTAGAAAATTGATCCTCGGACAACGGGTTTCTGGTCTTGTTCGATTTTAGAATGTCAGCCGGCTGAAGTTCAAAAAAGCACCCTAAACGAGTGGTGCAAGGGTTATAACTACCAGAGGTTGATAGACACTCGGGCAAATTACAATAACATTCGATTGAAGTTGGCAGTAACGTGTCATTGTTGATGCTCACAGTCGGGTATTCTGTTGTCGTATCTATACATATGCATAAATTAACATAAGTATTAATGTTATTATATTCGGGATGTGGAAACACGCTATATTAGTTAATGTAAATAATTGTATAAAATCGGATTATCGTGGTTAGTGAACACGATTTCATAAATAAATTGGTGACATATACCAATTTATTATGATTTATGCTGTATTCCATAACATGTGATATTATAATCAGTATCAGAGCCAGAAGTGCGAAATAAGAGCGAGTGCGCGATCGGACTAATGTTGAAAATGGATCTAATTCATACATGATTACGTCGATACCGATAACTTCTTTTGAAAAACTTCCAAAGATACCCTCGATATTTTTTCGGCCTTCAAAACCAAACACTTAAAACAATTGGGTATAAATTATAATTATAATAATATACCTTTTTATCAATACGAGATACGATGATATTTAATATTTTTAAAGAAGTAATTTTCTTAATTTTTAATTACTATTTATATAAATGTTAGGTAATTCATTACAAATTACTTCAAAATTATGTAAGTATTCAATAATTACAAACTACTATAGTAATTGTAGTTGAAAGGGGCTGTATGTAAACTGCGACGAAATTAACCTTTTTCTAAAACTCGATGTATAAACTGCGGCAAACATTATACAAATACATTATAACATTATACATTTAACATTATACAATTTCCAATAAAACTGATAGGTAGGTTTTTTCAAAAATTCAAGCAGGTCGGTTGATCTGCAAGCCAAGATTGAAAAAAAAGAGCGCGCCGAGCTGGCAATAGAACAATGGTCGACGGTACAATGCATAAGTATTATGCGGCATTAACGGTGGCCGGAGGGGCAATATAAATGCAAATATTTCTTTGACTTCTTAACACCTATAGTCCGTTCCAAAAGAGAAGACACGAAGCGACAACCGGTTTTTGTTCGGCGGTGCGCATCCCCCACCATCGATTATTGTGTGCAGTATTTTAATTACGGTGTATACATCATCGGCAATGATCGGAAATAATCGGAAATAAAAGTATAGTAGTATGTATATATGTGTGTATTTGTGTGTATTTGTGTGTGTGTGTGTGTGTGTGTGTGTGTGTGTGTGTATCATGTAAGTGTATTTGTAAGTATGTTGAGTAATCAATTATTAGTACTAATTATCACTTCAGGTTGTTAATTGAAAAAACAAACCGGACGAAAATTAAAAAATAAGCCGTCGCGAGACGCCTTACAGATGTGAAACATTAACAATTTTCTTTTTGTAATAATTCTTATTATAACTGCTTCAACAATAACAAGCGTCCATTTAGATCATTGAGTTAATAAAGTATTTATTAATATAAATTAAATAATTAATTACTTATTAGTATTCGGGTTATGAGTTAATATTCTGGGGAGACTTAAAATTATTTAACATAACCTCCATACAACAACGAACAAAAAAAACCCTTTTATTGAAAAACTAATTATATTACAGTATTACATATTACGTTAACCACTAGTTAACAACAAGTCTATTATTTGGTTTTTTTGCATTTTTAAAATAATTACAAATATAATAAACATCAGGTAGAAGATAGTATGCTTGTAATAAACGTGTTATAATTATTAAACAATAAAAATACATTAAATTATGAAAACGACTAAAGGACCCCATACACTACGATCAAACACGACGGTTTTCATCGTCACAGTAAAACACGTCGGTTTTCATCGTGCTGCTTAATTTTATTAAGTAAATATTCGTATGCTATATTTTTTAGATTTCTATTTCGATATTCCTCAGACTTGATGCGCCACAAGCAAGGAATTTTTTTATACTCTTCAATAAATTCAATTAAAAATGTTTTATTCATTTTTAAATTACGTATATGTACAATATACAAATATATCGTAGTCAAATAATTTACATTTAAAATTTACTTTGAAATTAAAAATTAACACTGTAGTTGTAATATGTACGGCTGCATGACACGTGCACACAGTAAATAAACACATCGGTTTTTATCGAAAAGCCCACACATTACGATTTTAAACGACAACCGGTAAACCCGTCGTGTTTAAATTCAAGACTCGACAGAAATAAAAACCGTCGTGTTTCATCGTCGGATTTTCTCCACACACTTCCATTTCGACCGACGGTTTTTATCGTAACGATGAAAACCGTCGTGTTTCATTGTAGTGTGTGAGGCCCTTAAGTACGGCGCGCGGTACGGCAATTATTGTCGTGAACTCGTTCCAATATTTTCGTTATATTTTCACTGTCACTCATATTTTAATAGAAAATAATATTTATATACGATATACGTATATTATATATTATTACGATATATATTAGTTTAAAACAACATATTATACATATACTTAACAATATAGGTACATATTATATGGGTACGCCGACATTGCGCGCTTAGAGAGGAAATCGCTTAACTTCGGCGAATTGAGCCGACGAACCACGAGTGGAGCGTCGCCACGCCTCACAGTCGGTCTCACTACCGTACCGCGCCATTAGATGTTTCACATCAAAAATAATTTGTTTTCAAGTATAACACAGATGGTTTGTGTACTGTAGTAAACAACACTGAATACACTATAGGATCGAGTGGGAGAGAATCGAACAGTAGATTGCGCATGACGACGTGTCGCCACACCGTACACACGACTGCATATAACTATATATATACCCATCATATAACGCGTCGTCACGCCAGAAATCGGTTTTACGTGTGGTTTATAGATGTTTCACATAAAAAGTTTAAAATCAAAAATTAAAAAATATTATATCAGTATGTGTACGCTTCTTTTACGTGTGCGTGCGTGCGTGTGTGAGTGCGTTGTCTGTGTGCGTGTACGTAAGTTTGTGTTTACATGTACGTATGTATTTGTCGTGTAAGGAAGCAGTGCCGCCTTAGGCCGAACATACACTAGAAACGTATATCGTCAGACACGTATTTCGGACGACATACGTAGTCAAGGGAAATACCTACACTGAATACCGATGTCATCTGACGTTGGACGAACGCGCTCATATATTTCCGCTTTTTCAGAGACCGATAACAAATGTCAGACGAAAAACAAAATGATTTTCAACCGACCATCTGAACCTGTCGGAACGTGTCGAACAACGTACGTGCTGCCGTTCTGTCGCACTTTCCCCCATTTCCGCGCGTGTATTTGTTTCAAATCAGACGTCGTCCGACATAGATACGTGTCTGACGATATACGATCCTATTGTAGGTATAGCCTACGACAACATTTTCAGGTGTAACAAGATATTAAATCTACTCATTAATCGAAAAACTCAAAATGTAAATAATGTTTTTTGATTTATTATTTGTTAATAATATAGGAATTATTTAGATAGCACAGAAATAATATGAAGCTTGAATAAGACAATATTATCATTATTAATATTAACAATAATAATAATTATTAATTTTATTATTTACACATCTTAATTATTAATATATTCAAGTTTATTATTTTAATTTGCATACTATAGTTACAATAGTTAATTTTGCTATAGATTTATTGGCGGTGACTTCATGTGTATGTATGTTGACACACAATGATCAATTAAAAAATTTAAAATAAAAAATCAAAAATAATTAAGGAGTGTGTGTGTGTGTATGGTTGTGTGTATGTGTATATATTTATGTAAATATATATATTATGTAAGTGTAAGTGTATTTGTAACTACGTATTTATTTATTTGTATATACGACAGCGTAAACGCGGGATGATCAATAAAATTAATTTAAAATCAAAAATCAAAAAAAAATATGAGTATGTGAGTGTATGTATATATTAGAGATCTGCACGGGCCGGACTAGCCTGACCCAGCCCGGACCGGGCTTGGACCGGGCCGTGCCATAATATAAATATTGCGGGTTGATTATGGGTAGGATCGTAGTATTTTTTTCTTTGGAATGGATTGATTAAAAATAAAACTACCTAAATATAACATAAGAGTACAATACTAATGCCGATTATTGGCGTTAGATAAGGAAATGTTTCCTAACTGATGGAGTAGGTTTGTCACAAATCATAATAAAAATATGTCTATAGTATTAGTGTATGTGATATGTATAATAAAAGATCACTGATGAAAACAGATAATAAATATTGCGTACGAGCCCGGTCGGGTTGGACTTCGAAAAAAGAACTTTTAAAAAAAAATTTCAAAAAAAAATTGAGGATCGGACTTAGGTGGGAGCATTTTGTAAATTTAAGTTTCGGGCCGGATCGGGCTGAAAAAAAATGCCCCGTGCAGATATCTAGTATATATATATACGTGTACGCAGAGGTGGAACTAGGGGGTGGAAGACAAGGATTCATCTCTGGGCTCAACATTTTAGAGGGTGTATTTTTTGTAATTATTAACAACTAATTTGATATTTTTAACTTTGTTAAATTCTGTTATTAGGTTAAAACTCAATAAGTATAATAGTATATTAATTATTAATTATTATAAAAAAATATTTATATTTACGTAAAAAACTCGAATTTTCCATTAATAAAAGCCAGTGTTTTTTAATTGTTTATGTATGAAAATTTCATGAAAAGGATTATTTTATAATGAAATATAAAACTACAGCATAAAAAAGACAACAATAGCATCGAAAAATGTCACCACCCTAATGTATATTTGTTAAAAATTTAAAAAAAAATAATTATATGAGATTACTATTATTGTACAATTCTACTACAATATTCTACAATACTATTATTTCATGCATATTTAGTTGAACTCCGGTGGTTTAATTATGAGTTAGTTTACATAATTTACCTCAGAATGTTATAACGTATGTATACACAACATTATAAAAAATAACTGGAATTCGTAAAATGATAGTATCTATGTATATATTACGTCAGTGAGTTTGTGTATGTGTATTAGTGTGTTGACGGGCGATGACATATTAATATAAAATTAAACTTAAAATCTAAAAAACTTAACCAAAAATAAAAGATATACTATATAAAACGTAAACATGCAATTCGTAATAATTACTTATATCTAATTACAGCGTGAAAATGAAAATGACGATGACCACAGTAAAAAACGTCATCAGGGTGATCTAGGTTTGCTTAAGGCTCGGTCAAACAGAACGTGGGCTGCCCGCTGCGGGCACTGTATTATCTTTGATTGCGTCATCGTGGTTAAAAATAGCGTAGCGCGGGCTACCGCGGCGGACTGCTGTCGACCGCAGCGGGCAGCGGTCTAGTCGTAATAATTTACAGTGATCGCGGCGGTCAAAAATTATTCGATTATTTATTTTACACAATTTGTTTAATTTTAAGTTTTAAATTTTAAATTATTCGTTTATTTATTTTATTAATTATAATATTATTATTAATATTATATAATATGGCAGATGATACTGAAAAATTAATTGATCTAGTACATAACTATCCATATTTATATGATACCAGTCATTTTCACAGTTTCAAATTAGATAGTTGTCACCATATAGTTAAAAGTTTATACCAGAACGAAAACGGTGTAACAAACGTGTATAACACAAATGGTGGAACACCAAACAGACCGCGCAAAATTGCCCGCGCGTTGTTAGACACCACAGATCGCGGCGGGCAGCCCGCGTTCTGTTTGACTGAGCCTTTAAAATGAAAAAATAAATATATTCTACGAGATTTAAGAAATCATAACCAAATCGTAAGTACTTATATATAGATTTCACTTTCAAATGAATATGGAAGGATACATCAGATTAATAATATTGTACGAATAAATCTATAATTATAGTAAATTGTATAAGTTTGTTTGTTTTCAAAATTATCAATTATTATTGTGTACAGTATAACCCACTGTTTGAATAAAATGAAAAAAAAAATAATAAATACCACTACCGGTGTAAAAAATGTAAAGAAAATGTTATGATTATATGAAAATGATCGTACCGGTAATTTTAATGTCTTGCGTTTCCGTTGTGTTTCGTTCCGTTGGTGAAGCTGATATCATGGCGAACGGCAGCAGGATCGCTGCCATGGCCATGATGAGGATCCGACGATTTGTAGCTAGTTTCGACATCTTGAAGATGCCGTGGAACGCGACGGTAAAATACTATAAGTTTAATGGTCGAATCTTCAGAAAGACAAAAAAACTATCCAGTGGTAAAGACCACTGGACAAAAAAAAAGGCTTCGGATCTTAAGTGAAGAGCGAACGACTGCCTTGAGCTGGCAGCCACAGCTAGAATGATTTTCGAACGGAGGCCGATTCACCGGGTCGACTTGACATTATCGGTTCGCCGTACACTAGCGCCACGGTGGCGGCGGCGGATCCCGTAACGGCCGCGAGGGTAGCGTAGACTGGTCGAGAGTCGCGCCCCGATGGAAGGGGCAGCTAATCGCAAGCGCCGCTGCAAACCTCTCCACCGTACCGCCACAACAACCACCGGTATGGAGTGCACCACCACCACTCCTTGCCACACCTACACCTCCGCCGCCACCACCACGACGACTGCTCGTAGGCGTGAAAGAAAAACAGCGGCCCGTCCAACTTTGTTTTCTCACAGTAAACTGCTCCCCCCAACCACGGCCTGCTACCGTGGTTCGTCTGCAACTGTGTGAACACAACGATTAAATTTATAATAATTACATTTAATAATAAATAATAAATAAATAGAATAATAATAATGATTTCAATAATAATTTAACGATAATATTAAATGTAACTGTGCTTCTTTTGTCCTTTGCCCGCAGATAAATTTGACCGTTTTTCAGTTTATACTCTTGACTTACGTATGTATATATACAGTGGTGTTCCCATAGGAAATACTACATTTACGCCGTATACATTCAACGTTGTTTTGAAAATTCACGTGTAAACTACGTATACACTCAAGTCTTGAGCACTTCGCGGAGAAGTATTAAATATAATTCATTTTACGGGATCTCATTTTGGCCTAATTTTGTAACAGACACTCAGTTTCCTTCAAACGGTTAGTGTATTCCTATGAATTAATTATTGAAAGTACACAATGTATTTACGATGTATCAATTCGTTTGAATTTTCTAATTTAATATCTATTTCTTAAACAATAAAAATATATATATATCAATTGTTTGTCAATATTTATAACCTTTTTCCACCACCACCGTATAAAATCATAAAAATACCCATGTTCAGACGTTCGTTGGCTTAGTATACTCTCAATAAAATTTATGGGAACACCACTGTGTGTATATGTGATTTTTCGAATTCTCCACATTTATTTTGTATACGTGTGTGCGATCGAACGAAATACTGGTATATAGAACAAAATGCTATAGTTTTTTTTTTTTTTTTTTTAAAAAAACTTATTTATTGAGGTCTGGGTGGAAAAATGAATCGTCACGAAAAAATTGAACGGCAGATATGGTGTATGGATGCGTGTGTAAAAGTGCGACAGAAATCGCTAAAATGGTTAAATATCATATGTGTGAATGTAATAGCGCATAATTCTCTAAGCATAGGCATGCTCAGACTTTGTCCGCAGGGAGGGTCCCTTAAGAAAAGTGAATCAAAGATTCTTGTACTAAAGACTACTAGTATAATTAAGGGGATTACACATTATCGCTTATTAGAGTAAAATAGACCTATACGCGTTCCAACGTACCAACTTGAGTTTTACTCCTATAATAATTTTAAAAACATATTTGAATTTATTATGAAATCTATTTTGAATCCTTCGAATCAGAATCATAAAAAAAGAATTTAAAAACTATTTATATCCATTTAAATTTTTAAGAATATAAGATTTTTTTTCTAAATTTCAAGTGAGGTTTTTTCTTTTTAAGAATAATAAATTAAAAATGTGGCTCAAAGGATCCAAAGTTGAATGAACAACAAAACAAAATTTGTTTTCAAAATTATTATAGGAGTAAAACTCAAGTCGGTATGTTGGAATTCGTTTAGGTCTATGATTTACAATATTTCGTCATGAAAAAGATTCGTTGTTGGACTTTATGTGACATGTGCATGCGAGTGCGCAACGCTTATCTAGCTCGCCGCCGCCGTCGCGTTCGTCGCTAATGAATTATCGGAAATCTAAATATAATAATATGTTCATATAAAAATAAAAATATACTACAATCCGATTATTACCGATAGGCGATAATGATCGAAGATAAAATTATTGCCGCCGTCGCGAACTATATTATTATATTATATTGTGTACATGGCGCTCGCGCATTCACGCTCAAATATAATGATTTACATTTACTTTATGTTATTATAATATTAGATGATATTGTCAGCCATCAAGTCGATTATCAGATCTTTATTTATTAGTGCACCTATAATAGTAGCATATAGTTGTGTAGTTATATAGTTATAGTTGCACTTAGTTTTTGTAAATCCAAAAATTTTCCAATTTTTTAAAAATGGGAAAATTTAAAAAAAAAGAGTTTGTCGAAACGAAAAAAAATGAAAGGCAATGTATTAAATTTCCAAAAGAAAATAATGGAGATATCAAACGACGGCTTAGTTGATTTGTAAGTTAATTTGTATTGAATTATTTATTTTAAGTTTTGAGTGAAGCAAGTTTGTGTTATGCTATACAGTATGTCTCAAAAATCCTGTACGACCCCGAGGATCTCGACACTAACTCAATATTTTTGAATGAGGTTTTTTCGAAAATAAACCATGGTAAAAATTCCAATTTCAAATTTTTTGTTCAAAAATTTAAAATTGTTTTTGTTAAATTTTCATAATAGCTATTTTTTTTTTACTTTTTTCCAAAAGTAAATTAAAAAAGCGTGGTCAAGTGAGTAACGCTTTGCTGTATAGTATGGTCACTACTAATGTATTAAATCTGAAACCAATGATAGGTATCACGATTCTGAACGGAGATGATGATTTATTGTCATCCTAAAATATATTTCCCAGTGGGTGGTGAAAAAGATGGTTTATGTTTTAATGATCTGAATAACCCTAAATTTAAATTATTTTATAATTATTGTAAGCCAAACTTATGGAAAATCTTATATTAAACTTTCAACTCTTAGCTACTTATCGGTATACAAATTTTTTATAAATTTTAATTATAAAATAATTTGCAAATATTCATGATTTTGACGAATTTTTGTCAATATTTGAACTTCAAATGCTATTAAAAAAAATTGTGCCTAGTATTCTTACTTTTTTTTAATCACTATAAGAATAACTAATGAGGAACTTTGTATTATTGTATTATTAGTATGACCAATACGTAAAAGCGGAATAAATCATAACGATAATATACCGGCATAGTTTTAAATGGTCATTAGAGCACTCGTATTAGTCGTATTGATAAAGATAATAAAAATAATAATAGACGCGACATACTGTACGTCGGTAATTGGCGACGCGGTGGAACGATAGATGGGTTGCAGTGCAGAGAAGTCACTCACACTAATGATCATTTACTACACACAAACATACACGCCACGCACGCACGTATTTACAAAATGTCTAAAAATTGCCTATACTCAACTCCTTAAAAATGGTCGGTATGGAATCCCCTTAAATATTATATTTATTATTATATTATATTATTATTACATTATATTACACTTATATTATTCATTATGCAAATATATAAATAAATACTATTTAAACTTACAAAATGTATATATAAGAAATCCTTATTTACATGTGATTATACTATTTATAACTTCATCCTTCTGTCCACGGGAGTAAGGTTTTTGAATGTATCAATTACATCTTCAATTTTTTTTATTATATGCAAGTTCTGATTAGTCTGATTAATAACCAATAACTTTATTACATTTATTCACAGATATCAATTCTATATTATAAGATTAAGACTGTCTTTATTCATGTAAAATGTAAAAATGTTCGCTATCTTGTATAGTATAGATATACATTTATTAAAGAAAAAGCCAGAGTCCGCAGGGGGGGGCCGTGGCCCATCCGGCCACCCTCATGCGCACGCCTGTGCGTTCTCTATGTTTTATCTATTTCTACTATCCTATTTGCGTGGATCTTTAAATTCTGGGACCGCTTTTGAGCACTGTGTACGGGGCATACAGGCATTATACTTGCGCGCGCGGTTGTTGTTTGACTACTTGCAGTGAACGCTTATATATACAGCGTTCCCACTGTGCAATGAATTGTTGTATAAATGTTTCAGCGACATTTTACTGGAACCTGTAACATCGCAATGTGAGTTGCATATGTGTATGAAAAACATTGCTGCAACACTTAATGCCCTGTTTTTTCTAACACTGAGGAAACATTATAAGCACATATTTTGAAATATAAATGCATTGTTTCATTGCAATACATATCCAATGTGTTCAAGTAATCCGTATATAACATCAAAAAATACATACCTATAATGTTATGTTGACACATTACCCTACTGTGCAATATTATGTTGCATAGATGTTTCAAATCAAGTTAATAATTTAATTATTTTAAAACGAAAAAAAAGAAAAAATAACATTCAACATTGGGAATTGAATCACTGTTGGGTGATAATCTCCATATCTACCTACCTAACTGACCTACGCCTAACACCTACTAGCCTACACCTAACATGAGAAGTATGTGGTAAAATTGTTGTATTTATACCTATACTATACTATTTTCAGAATCGTATTTTTACAGTAAAGATTAAAAACTGTTTCGAGTCCGCCAGACATTAGTATTGTTGTAATAAAAAGTTATTTTATAAAATAAAGATTAAGATACTCTATATTATAAAGTGGATATCATACATTTCTTTTTTCTAATACTTCACGGAGAAAAGAAAATTAGACATATCTTCATTATGTGAACATAATTACTAATTAGGTAGGTTACCTACCTGCTTAACATAATATGAACTACAATAATTGTATTTTTTGTCATAATCGTACAAACAAATAAAATAGGTGGCAAATTTAGTCATATAGATATGTTCATCATAATCAAATTCCATTTTTTTTAAGTAGGAAATAGACAAATAATTAAACATTCATTATGTATATTATAAACGCACGCCAACAGTAAGATGTCTACTCGTATGTGAATGTGAGCACTTTTGAACTGTTAGAATACGCCAATCATGAATAACATTTTGATTCCAAAAGTTACAACAAATGATTAAAATCTATTTAGGTAGTCGAAAATAAATGTAAACCGGTATTATGACGGCACTTGAAAAACGATTCCGAGTAAAAGATATCGAATGGGTCAGTTTATTTATAA